TGCCCAGGCGGGTCTCGAACCCGCGGGCTCAGGCAATCAGCCTCCCAAAAGTGCGGGATTATAGGCTGAGCCACTGAGCCCGGTTATAAATTGACTTATTAATGATATAAACTTAGATGACATTAAAACTGCCCTTGAAGTCCAGAATGTAGTTCTGTTGCTTTGGTCTGAAAGTAAGATAAGGTTCTCCCTACCTACCTGTTTATCATGCCTCCTCATCTGGGCCAAATACTAATATAAGATCAAGAATTGACACCCTCTGAAATAAGGATGCTATAATGGGAAAGGTTAGCCACCCACTGAAACCCTTCTCAGATTTGGAACCCAAATCACATAGAGCATGAGTTGGGCGCACTGAAGGAAGTTAAGGGTATAGGCTCAGAAGTAAAAACATTTCAAAATGTAGTACGGTTACTTTACTACATCTCAGTTCCCTCATCTGCAAGTTGGGGAAAATATTCTTTACTTCCTATCTCAGTGATCAATATAAAGACTATAAAAGATAATATTGAAATAATAACAGGTGCTCAGTGAACAAGGGAATTATAATCTGATTGAGAAGCCAACAGGCCTCGTTAGGGAGCAATAGGTCCATACTGTTATCTAAATAAATACATTTTCTTTTTAAAAAATTTATTTTATTTTAAAGGGTGTGTGGGGTACAATTCAGGTTTAGGCATACATGTGGTCATCGTACAGGTAAAGTTTGGGCCTCCCTTTGGTCCCCACTTTGCCTGGTTTGAGATCAGGTACCCTTATTGATGTTATGTCCCCGCCTCCCCCGGCAGTTTCTGACTACTGCCGATCCTTTTCTTCTTATAGTGTTATGGTAAATGTTCAGGGCCTGCTTAAATACATTTCCAAACTCTGACTTTATCCAAAAAATGAAATGAACGTGGATGTGATGATCTCAAATAATTAAGGATTTGGGAAAACGTTGGAGGGAAAGTGTGGTACCAGTGGTGTCCAGAAGAGGGGGCTCCTGAACAGCTGGCAGGCACATTCTGTCTTGCTGCTTCCGCATTTAAACCACAAAATACACATCTGAATGTGACCCTATCCAAGGGAGCCTACAACTCGCTTTGACTCAGCGCATGGCACCACCAAACACTCTTTTGTTCTCTCAATGAGACTTCTTCCTGGAGACTAATGAATAATGAGCATAAGTATTTCTGTGTGCTTGGTGGCTCTATTTCTCCCTGCTCATCCATCGATGAGCATTCTAGTTAATTAATCAGGCCTCTGTCCTTGGAGAGTTTCTGTAGGGTTCCAGAAACAGCTCTACTCTGCCTAGCTACAACTCAGCTGTTGTTCTCACCACTTATAGGGCTTGCCTCGTCTGGGGAGCACGAGACCTGCAGCCCTGGATGAGTCTAACAGCTGAGTCAGGGGGCAAGGAGTTTTTTCTTCAACTTGCCTTAGCCCACATGGACTGTGGGCATTCCAGAAGATACTGAAATCAGAACACTTTCTCTGGATAGTGTAGGGTAAAGACTACAGAACCCATAAAAGTAAATTGTTTCATTCTTTCATTCTCTTTTTTGAGTCCAGGGGATAATAAGTTTGTTTCAGCAGCCTGGCCAATAGGAGAGCACATCATCTTTCTAAAGATGAATCAGAGGTGGATCCATTCCAGTGCTTAAAAGACCCAGGTAGAAATTGTGAACCATGTTAGTGTAGGATGAAAGAGAATGGTGTGACCTGTAGCTAAAAAGTGCATGACTTCTTGAAGTCATTCTGAGTCAACTCCATACATACACGCTGAACTTTGCCAAACCGCAGACCACCTCAGCAGCCCCCAATCAATCAGCAGGTCCTGCTCTGCAGGATGAAGCCTGTAGTCTGCCAAGGAAGACAGCTCACCAAACTGCCTAAACCATTTCTTTCCAACAGCTTACACCTCCTGGCTCTTTTCCTTGTAATTTCCTGTTGTTTGCAACAAACTCCTCTCCTTGCTATGTGACTCTGGCTCATCCCTCACGGCTGCCCAAACCTCACCTCACCTCACAGTGATGTCCCTTGTCTGCACTTCTCATGTGGCATTTCAAAGCGACCTGATCACCTGATAGTGATCGCATCAGTGTATACCTTGCTGAGGGATGAGAAGGACTGAAATCAGGCCCTCATTCTCCTTCCTAGGCCACTGGCCTCGGTGGGGACTGATGTCTGCCTGGGGGAAGGAGAGCTTCTTTTCTTTTTTGTTGTGGTAAAACTTAAGTCACATAAAAATCGCCATTGTAGTCATTTCATTACATTCACAATGGTGTGCAACCATTACCACTGTCAAGTTTCAGAACATTGTCATCATCTCAAAAAGAAATGCCTTTCTTTGGGAGGCTGAGGTGAGTGGATTGCCTGAGCCCGCGGGTTCGAGACCCGCCTGGGCAGCGAGACCTCATCTCTACA